ACCAACCCCAGCACCCAACATTGAGTGCTCACAGGTTTGGCTCTGGGTTGCTGGAAGCTGTGCGTGCCCTTGGGCAGATGTGCCAGGCAAGTTTGGAGTTGACCTTAATTGGCTCCAATTTTTCCAAGTAAGTTCTAAAATCCTGATAAATGATAAAAAACCCCACTGCTCCTCCTTTACCATATCAGCCTGGTGAAGCTCAGGGTCACTGTTAAAGGTAGCAAAACCTTGTAAACGGGGAAAGAAAATACATTTGTGCAGTAATACAAGTAAAAAGTCAAGGGATGAAGCACGTGTATACATACCAAGTAATGGCCTCCAAAGGGATAAAAAGTAGAAATCTGATACAGAATGAAACTCTTCTGTTGCCATGCACTGAGAAAAGTGGTACAAGAAGAAAACAGGAAGAAATGGACACTCTGGAAAGTCTTAAACAACAAACCCAACAAAATCGGAAGAAAATGATTTAGAAGAGCCTTTAAAATGAGTTTTATTGTCAGAATTTTACAAGTAGCCTTCAGTGGCATCATACAAGAAGAACTCTGTTGCAAAACTCTAATAAATAGTCTGCCCCAAGTCCCAAAATATTTTTTGAAATAAAATAAAAACCAAACTTAAAAATAAAAGAGAATAAAAGCAAGACTTCAGGATGCTCAGAGATGTTAGCAATATTTCCCATTTACAAATAATATCAGGCATTATATAAATCTCCTTCATACAAGTCATTAAAAAACCCAAGACATTCTAAACCTTTACAAAAGCACTCCAGAAATAGTTCCAAAGAGATCCATTTCCATGACAAAACATTAGAGAAGAACTCCATGGGGATTAGCATCACAAATGAAGTTTGAGGTTGAAGTGTAGCGTGTACTTGTGTGGAGCAAGATTAAAGAGCATGAAAAAGGGATTTGAGAAGAGCGTGGAAGTTTCTGTGACAAGACTATGCCCGATGATTTTAATCTGTGTATTTGAGAATGTGGTAAAGGGAAGGGAGTGGATGCTCTTGAAATTAACCCCCAAATATGCTGCACTTTATGCAAGGCAATATTTATTAAGGTAGTGACTGTATCCTCAGAAGGGAGTAGAGAAGGTTTCTCAGCACACTGCATAGTTGAATGCCTGTGCAGACTGCGGCGCTTACGAAGTCGTATTCTGACACTTAAAAGGTATTTTCTGGGGAGGTAACATGTTGTGGCAAGTTAGCTGTTCCTTCAAAGAACAAGAAATTAAGTTTCCTGGCATGAGGCAGTTTGGGAAATCTCACGCTAGGCAGTTTCACTGGGGATTGGGGATTTCAGAGCTCCAATCCTATCCCAGTCCTTTAAAAAACACACTTCTCTAATTCACCCTTGCATAGTCCTCTGTCTACCACAGTAAAAGATTTAGAAGACCTCTCATGTAATAAAACACAAGTTGAATAAACATTTCTCAAATCTGTTGTGATCTGAGAAGTCCAGAGAAATGGAACGGGAGGGCAGGTGCACAGGGATGGTTTATGTGGCTTTTCATGGAAACAGTTCAGGGGAAAGAAATCTTAATCTCTTACAACTTCAGCCCAAGTCTTCTGCACATATGCAAGTAACAGATTCCCCTGGAAGGGAAGGGGACTAAATTTAAGCGGTACAGCAACAGTACTCAGTATCTCTCAGCCCGCCTGATACAACATGAACTGGAGCATGCCTAGTTTTGCTGTTCGTAAAGTTACTTGCAGCCATTGTTTCCATGGGAAACAAAGACTACCAGAAATGCTAATGCAATAGATGTGTGGTAATATGCCTCACCCATGGCTCATGTCTCTAGTCTCTCTCCAAATGTTATGATGCTGGTTGTACTGTACCATACACGGTGGACACGCGTTCTCTGTAATGTATGGGAAGGTAGCACTAGCAATCAAGCGCAAATTGCTAAGGAGACACCTAAAACATTGCATTACATCCCCTTGTCTGTGGCATACTTCAGAAAACAATGTAAGAAGAGCAGTAAAATAAACATTTCTTTCTAATTTTCTAGATGTCATAATATTTGCCAAAGCTGCAAGGAAAAGCGGATTACCTGAAACAGAGAGAAAGGAGTTAATGGAAACAGAGGCAGATGGAACAGCAAGCCTGATCCAACCTCCAAATCATTTTGTACATAACAGATAAAGAGACAATGTGCAAAAAATAGACATTCACATTTTAGCAGTTAAACTTTTATTTTACCTTTTTAAAATTATTTACTTTATTTTTTCTACAAAAGGCAGACATTGATTGTTTATCTGCAATTGTTCTGAGTGCGCGCAGAGATGCAAAAAAGGGTTATTGGAGGATGAAGGACAGGGAAGTGCTCTGACTATACTTTCACATGTCATGATTAAGGTGGCATTAAAGCTTAAGTCCCAGTAATAATATTCATAACAGATAGTTTCCTTCCCCATACACTGTTCTCAGTTCATATCAATTGTGTTGAAAACCCATTCGGTGAATTTCTTCAGTTTCTCGGTTGCATTCTGGGATTCCTCCTGTAACCTCAAGTTGTCTTCCCGCAAATGCTGCACTTCAGCCTGAAGACTGGCCTTGTCCTCTTTTTCCTTAGGCACGAGGAAAAATACAGATCTTAGTGGAAATGTTAGGTCATGCTTCCTACCTATATAGAGAGGCAAGAATCTCTGAAGAGAGCACGAGTCTTGTTCTTTATAAGGATTTTATGTGCAGTAACACATGGTCTTATATCTAAGTCTCATTTGTGACATTTCACTCCTTGCTTTTTGCTTGAATGAGCAGGATTTCTCTCTATTAAATTCTAATACAGAAGCTGGCTCCCCAGGTGGTGAAATAAAATTGGGCATGCCCTGTTCTGTACGTACAACGTGTATGTACAACTGCTGATGGTTAACTAAGTAAGAGATAGGAAATATTCCTACAAATACTTCCCTAGCTAAGAGACTTTTCATCTGACCACAGCAGGTCCTTCTTGGACCAAGCAGGCAGTAACACAATACGGGAAGTTTCCACAGTAGAAATTATACGTTTAGATAATACTGTCAACTTTTCAACATCAGCAGGATATATTTACATGGACTAACTTCAAACGTTTCACAGTGCCACCTGAATTAGGAGTGGAGGTACTCTGAATCACCCTCCTAATTTGAGCAGAGGAACCCAGATGCCTACAAATTTAGACACTCCACCCTAGCCTTGCATAATTAGAAGTGTGGCCTGAGAAAAGTAGTAAAGAAATGTCTTTTTCTCATACAAGGATGAGAATGTCACAGGCTCAGGCATGGCAAAGCAAGATTACATGGTTACTAGCATCACCTATCAGCGCTAAATATGTGTCTTACAGATTTTCTGTAGATGAAATGTTTACCTTCCTTAAATCCTCTTGCAACATCTTCAGCAAACCTTCCAGTTGGTCCACTTTAGAGGCGAGAGTTGGAGGAGATTCTTTACTATTGAAAGCAGGAAACAAGAATAGGTATTGATATGATTTACTATCTTCACATAGGGCAGCTAACAGCCTTGTCTATACCAAGTGGCTCTATGTAGGTATGCACTCAGGTACACTAAGAATTCACAAAATGAACAAAAAGAACCTAACAAAGAGTACATGGAACACATGCAGCACATTGATCAACAGAACAAATTTAACTCATGATTAATTGGGGCCACGCCATCACTTGACTTCTCTCTACTTCTACTCATTCTATGTGCCTTGAATTACCATTGCTTTGGACACGTTAATGAACATCTCGGACAAGAAAGAACCTGCAAAAAGGTTCAACTGTACTTACGATTCTGCTGTTTTCACTTCCCACCACCATCATCTTCATGGGAACTTGTGAAGAGTTCTTCTGTGAAGCCTGGAGATTGCTTCTAAATAAAAACGTTCCTACTCTTTTCCTTGGTTTTCAGCTGAGGAAGCCTGCATATCTGGTGTATTTACTTACCCTGTATAAGGCTTTATCTGTGCAGTAAGCTGGTCCTCAGCCTGATCACTGCTGGAGGCAGCGCTCACAGGTCTGTGATTTTCATCAGCAGCAGCAAAGAATGAAGCTCGCTGAACTGAGAAGGCAAACATACAGAGAAAACCAATGGCAGCAGTAATGATTATTTGTTCATGCATAGCACAACAGCTACACTGCAGGATCTCAAAGCAATCTAAAAAGTCTGTCTCAAGCAAGATAAGGTGATGATATGATATACCAATATCGACTGGACAGAAGCAAACTGGCATTGCAGGTGTTTGCACCAGGTTCTCCATTGTATTGGATTCAACGTGCCAGTACTAGCTCTGGCATAGCACTGCATGCTCCCACAGACCACGCATCACCCTCAGGCTGAGAAGCTCTCCGGGAGGGAGGTGCTAGAGAGTGCAAAGCAGATACCCCAGCGGCACCCACAGAGTCCACCCAAGGCCAGTTCCAAGAGCGGCAAGAAGCCAAGCTGAAACAACAAACGCTGTGCAGAACTTCCTGGGTACAACTGCATGACACTACCCAGTAACTCAGTAACTATATTTAGTTATTTAGTTTCCTTCACTCCATAAAGGAACCTTTTATCTTGAGGAAAGAAAAGCTCGCTGTGCACAATTTACATGTGGAAAGTAAAATGACCAATGTAATTTTTCAGAACCCACAATTTTTTTCTTATGCCTTAGAAAACATTTTCAGATTGAAACGTGAAACCTCTTTCCTGCCTTGTGTCTACACTTTTTTGTCCTGTAACTGCTCAGATGTTTCAACGCATCTCTGAATCATTATCGCATGTGGTGTGACTGTAAACCACTGACTGCCCCTACCTCTGGAGTTTCCTAGCACAAACAGTAACATAAACACATTTTAGTTTAATAAATTAACATCTCTCCCTCAGCAGCTGCTGGTCTCTCACTGGAAACAGAACAGTATCATCTTTTTCTGCTTGGCAAATTTTTATTCCGTGCTTTCAACAAGGCTAAAATGAACGTGGTATTTGATGGATTTTTTTCCTGCTCCTTTCTTTTTTCCTTTGAATGAAAATATTGCGGGTTCGTGTAGCTCAGGGATGCAGGCAGCTCTTGTTTCAGCTGTTTGCAGATATCACTATTTGGAACTTTGGGGGCTTATGCTGAAGACACCAACCAACGATGTAGAAGAGAGGTGTCCAGGATCACAAATCAGAATTTAGGCTGCTTGATGCTTGTCAATCCCTACTGGCACCTGGCAGAGACTAGATACTGGGATTATATTGACATCAGACAGCTGTTCCCTCTCCAAGTCAAATCTGAATATATTTTTTACAGCGGTGAGATGAAGGTACCAGCCAACACGTTACCCCAGCTTTTCTTCATCTGAGCTGTCAGTTTTCACCACACTGACTTTGTCCACACTTCTAAAGAGAAACACAAGTGAGTTTGGGGCCTACAAAAGTGAGGGATTCAGGTTAATGAGGGCAGTCAAATAAATCTAACCAAAAAAAGAAGATCTTTTAAACAGAAATTGCCAACCGCAGTGAAACGCATTAAAACCTGGGTTTCATCCCTATGTGGTGGTGAAGAAACCATCACTACGAATTCATCTCCTCCTGAGGACTAAGGCTTACTTTGAATATTTTTTCCCAAGACTGTGCAGCAGAAATACGAGACGTGCTGATCCTACAACTCCTATGGCAATAGAGCAGAGCACACAGGTACGTCTTGAACACCAGCTTAGACATGCACTGTTTTAATGATGTATATGGCTACTACCAGAGGCCAGCCAAGAAAGCAAGTTACTTCACAGCCTTCTCCAGCTACGCAGAATAATGTCTAAAAGATTCAGGATCAGTGAAAACACTTTCATGAAGGCGGGACAGCATTTATCCAGACATTAGGAAAAGGCACTTGTTTAATGCACCTAGAAGACTTTTCCATTGGAATATAGTAACTGTAAGGTAAACTCCCTTTGGGTTGAAGTGTATTTCATTTTAAATTCAAATACGCCTAGGCAGCTTACAGTTCTCTTCAGTTTACTAAGTGTCAACGAGACGGAAAGTGCCATAGGATGAAACGACACTTATGTGCAAGTCTGTGTATTCAGAGTATGCAACGGGAAGTATGGCAATGGAAAAATATATACCAACAAGGCATATTTCCCAAATTACCTTGGCAGCGCACTTCAGCTGCACTACAGAAACTTCTTGCTAGTGCCGTAAGCAAGCAATCATTAGCGTGCTCACGTGCTTTTCCCTGCTATTTGACTTGACTTTTGCACTTTTCATGCCAGATGCCTTTTCCACCCTAGCTGTGATGTCTGCAACTGCTCTAATGAAATGAAAAGCAGCCAGTTTCACAGAGATTTCGCCAAACTGTAGCACAGAGGGATTCCAGTATGAAGAAATGGTATCTGAGTATTACATACAAAGTTTTAAGCTGTTAAGACTAGAGTTGCTATTTTAAATGAGCTTAAGCTTCAGACTAAGTAGAAACGGTAACAACCACAAAAGCAAGAGTTAAGATTAAAAAAAAAACCAACAAAAAAACAACAAAACAAACCCCACTCCTTAATGAAGCATGCACAAAGACCAGTCTTCTAAGTATTATGTTCTGAAAACTTACCTTCAAAGGCTTTGGCAGCATCTACCAAGTTTGACCAGTCCAGATCAGAGGCAGAATCAGGCAATGGCATAAGACCAGGGTCTGGCATGGGCTGCCGTCGTTGCTCCTGGATATCTGTGAGGGAGCTGTCTGAGGCAGAAAACTCTCCTAGAGTAATGCAGAACAAATTATAAACTTCATAATAAAACCCCCAAATTCCCTTCTTAATACTAATGCATCCCTATTTTTAAGTTTTCGGGGATAGCACTTTTGGAACCAGAACTCAGTAGAATGTTTGATCAACTGTAGTTGACCAGACACAGCATGTTACAAGCCAGTTTTTAGAAGACAGTGCTTCTCGCCAGGACATTCAGCTGCTTTCTAACCTGCCTGAATCTTCGCAGCTTAGCACTTCAAAAGCCAATCTCTGCCTCCCCCCCGCACTGGGGCTGGGGGCAGTACTCTTCTACCCAATGATTCCTGCCTCTGCACAAGCTGAAGATACTTTGGAGGCCTCTGCAGCTTGCTGGGCTTCTACACTCCCTGGCACCTATTTGCTCCTGTAAAAATACAAAATTGTGGGTTTTTTTCCTCCTCTCTTTACAATCTTGTAAACCAATAGGATCAGACTTAGGCCTACCAAGATGAATCAGAACAAGAAAACCCTTAAAATGGCTTCCAAAGCATTGCACATCTCTCAGCAATTTAGTGAAACCTCCTCGTCTTTACTGAAAAATACCCACACCCACCCATGCGTTGGTACATGGCCCGCTATGGAAAAAACATTGGCAAGCTTGAAAGAAGGACATAAAGTCCCTGTAATTTTTGTGCAAACTGGTGCCTAGCAAAGTGAAACACTTGAATTATTGCCACTAATTAGGGCAAGACCAAAAACTGTGAACCAACAATTATCTACTTTATTTCAGTTTACTGGCTGCACAATCAAAAAAACGTGCAATGCCTGGTCAGTCAGCACATGTATAAGCTCAGAAGCAGCTACAACCTGCTTCCTCATGCCCTCTGTCGGGGCGTAAAAGAAAGTTTTGAAAAATTTGTAGGCGGTATTAGAAGCACCAGAGATGTAGGGGCCAGAAGATGGACTGGGCGCCTGGGAAGAAGCTGCAGAGAAGAAGGGTACAGTGAAGAATCCATTTGGACCAGAGTGAACAGAAAGACAGTGTGGTGGGCAGGACACAAGCGCATTGGAAGACAAATGCCACCAGCTGTGTTGCTTATTTTTGCCTGATTTTTTTTTTTTATAGTCTAATAACTATATAACTTCAGTAACTAAAATAACTCTCTAATAACTTTAGCTAAATAATATTGCTGCCTGGGAGACAATGACCAGAAAAGCTACACTGCATTCACTTCTCTGCTCAAAAATCTTGAAAACTTTTTTTTTTGCCTGTATGCATGTTTACTTTTTATAGCTCAATATTAACACTGAGGATTTTTGTATTATCTCCCCAAAAGAGGTCAGTTATTTGGGAAGTTCTTAACAGGAAAGTATTTACAATTAGTGAAAAGATACAGAGAATTAGAAGAAAAAAACTAACCATTTGAAAAATTTATCTGTTTTAAAAGTGTGAGTTGGATTGTTAATTAAGACAGATGAGTAAATAAGAGTATTTTTAGCTCATTGTTTTCCCTCTTCAAAACAAATGAAGGTGCCCTGGAATGGCTGTTCTTTGTTATTAAGATCACTGAATTAAAAGAATTTTGAATAGCTGGAAGCCAACAAATACCTGTGGTATCAAATATCCAGCTCTATTTAATCCTTCTATCAGCAAAGGCAATTGTGGGGGGGAGACAATTCGTGTGTCACTGAAATAGCTGGTTCTTTTATCATGCAGGCCTACATTTTACAGGAAATGGAAAATCTTGTTTTGTTTACAAATGTAGAAAAGCTTATGTGCTAGGAGGAGCAATCGGTTTGGCGTGGAAGAGAACATGACAGTGAAAGAATGTTTTGCGGTTTTCTTTTTGGAAAATACAGGCATCTAAACGAAAAGAGACCAAGTGCTGCTTTCCATTTCTACTCAGATGGCATCATTAATCTTGTGACCCCAAGCCCTCAGAAGCCAAATCCACTAGCCAGTTACAAGTGTAACCAAGTCCGCAAAGTTATTTTTGTGCATATAAAAAGCAGAAGTGAAGAGAGCTCAGTTTCCTAACTCTTATGCAAGAAAGATGTTATACAGAAACAACAGCTCATGCAAATGTCAGGTTCAACACTGAAAACTGATGCCTGGTGATCACAGACAGATGAAAAGAATTTAAAATAGATTTCTTCAGCAGCCTTCACTGTCAAATGTATCTTAAGTATCTAAATACAGACCGTGCTTAGGGCCCACTATAGTGAGTTGAATCTATTGATAGCTTTGCGTTTTCCTCTTGAAACATACTAAAACATGAATAAATCAGAGCAGATATGTACTTCTTCAGAAAACGTTGCAGAATCCTACACTGGAAGATCTAGCTCTATTTCTGGAAAACACATTTAGTTATGAGGTACAGCAGGAACCTGTGAAAATTCCCTTTCTCACCAACTGAGACATTCACATGCAGCAACACACAACCTATCAGATAATCCTACTGAGACTTTTCAGTAAACTAATGGGGGAAAGCTGAGTGCCTTCTTGACAGCAGTTTACCAAGTAACTACTTCTTGTTAGCTGTTGATGCGTGACTAAAATTAAGTAACTCAAGTCCTGTAAGGTAAGGGAGTGAATTTAAAAACAGTTGCTGCAATAAAAGCTGTATCTGGTGTAGTTGTACATCCAAATGTCCACTTTCATATCATTATTTTCCTAATAGTATTTTGTTCCCATAATCCCACACTAAAGGAACTGACACCTGAAGTTATCACTGGTGGATAACCAGGCATACATTATTTGCCCATTGGTCCAACTGGTCCAGATGACTCCTGGAAGAAATGGTGAAAACTTAGAGCTGATGAGGCAAATTTTTGTACTCCCTCCACAAGGTAACTGCATGACCAGTCATGCAGTCTTATACACACTGAAGTGAGGGGGGAAAAAAATTTCCATCCTATTTTATACTTTCAGACATGTGACTTGACTCTCCTCATTTTAGCAAATTCAAGATGGAAGTACTAATTGCTGTAACAAACATTTTTCCATTAACATGATTCACAAAGGATTCCTCTGAAAGTAGAAAAATGGGAAATACACTTACCATGTAGTGATTTCATTCCCAAAGTATATGATGGTCTCCGTAATGGCAGTGACTTTGGGAGAGAAGGGTACGTGCTGGTGAACAGGACATCATTTGGCATGGCTTGGTCCAAGAGCGAGGCCCGCGAGGTGAAGAAGTGGTCCCTTTGACCACTGTAAATACTCTCGTCTGACAAAGTCCTTTGCAAGGCACGCCTTGTGGTAGGAGTGCTGGGAAAGGGAGACTGACAGGACAGAGTGTGTGACTATAACATTCATAAAAACAAATAAAAAGAAATGAGAAAAAAAAAAGAATAAACTTTTGAAGTCTATGTTGAAATAGTTTTTTAAAACTTTTTTTTAAAATAAGAAAGTAGGTGTTAACATAGTAGTTTTTCAGAGTGGATAGGAAAAAGAACTAAAGGAATCTGCTTTGAAGGCGATTATAACTAGATAACGTATATAGGTGGTCTTAGCCAATCTCACATTCTACCTCTTAAATACCTTTCAAACTTCTCCTGAAGTGGAAATCTCAGGCAGCCCTCACGGATTCTAGAGCTGACACGTAGCAGAGATAATGTTTACAGAAACAGACTGAACACTGCATAAACCAGAGTTCTCCCTCGTGCCTGGGGGAGGCTGCCTTCCTGCGGGCAGAGCACCAGCAAATGCCAACTAATTAAAAGTCTCATATTACTGAACAACTAGGAACGCCCACCACTGCTTCAATTCTTCAGAAGGATTTGAATCGAAATTAAATAATTTTAGTAGTCCCACGAGTAAGACAACTTGTGTCTTACCCCCACCATCATCCCAGCTTTCCCCATGCTCCATATAGGAGAAAGCAATGCTGTGGTTAGCCTGGAGTTATGTACTCTCCGGCCAGAGTGCCAGCGAGCTGCTATCAAAGAATGCATAACCATTCCCATCAGCAGAGACGCTGATTTTCATGAAACCTGTAGCAATCTAACTATCTCTAAGACATAACATTTCTTTATGGTTTGGTTGAAATTTGGTCCAAAGGCTTTCATGGAGAAATGGCAAACAGAAAGGAAGACCTCACCACCCTCATTTGCTCTGTAAGCAAGTTTAAACAAAAAAGGAGATAATATGATTTCCGGAAAAAGTGCTGAAACATTATAAAGAGTTGCTCATTTGCACAGAAAAATAGTTATCTCGCCTCACAAAAAGGAAAAGAACATTTAAACAGACGGTACTCTATTCCTGTGATCAAAATCCCACACTACAAAGTGGGAGAAGAGTGTGGAGGAGGGACTATTGGTACTGTACAATGGAAGACAATCTGCCAGAATTTTTTTTTCCCAAAACATTACGAATTCCAATATTAAAAGACTGCTTCAGGTTTTGCTTTTACATATTAAGGATCAGAAACAATTAAGATTACTTTCAAAAACCTGCTACATCAAAAAAACAAGAACGGAAAGAGAAGCCATGTCCCATGCCAACTTTCTAGTACGTCAACTTCTCCCTTCTGCATTGCCTCCCTCAGGACATGCCCATCACAGGATGAACCTTGCATATACAGTTAACACTAGAGAAATTACAACTGGTAATACACAGCTGTCACTATGTTACATTGAAGATCAAGCTGCTTTTTTATTCTGAAATTTAAAAGCTCAATCAGCAGGTTCATGTTACGTTCCAGTGAAATCTCCCAGCACTTGTCCTGAAGCGGCAAAGAAAAAGAAAAAGCTGCTAATTCAAGCAGGGTTTACTCAAGGGTCCTACAGTTCACTTAGTGTTAAAGAATTAGGAGCTGGAACCACCAGTTAATATCAGACCTTGAGACTAAGAGGTTGGCACAGATATGAACATCTGATGGAGTCGAAACAGAGTCAATACTGGTAGGAATTGTCTTCTGGTAATAGAGCAGAGGGAAGAGAAAAAGAAGGGTGACTTGTCTGAGAAGGTACAATGAGTAAGTAGTAGGTAAGGAGATAAGGAAGGCTGGGAAGATAATAAAAAGATGCAAAAGACAAAATCACGACGCAGAACAAATTCTACTAGCAAACAAAGCCTTTGGCAGCCAACAGACAGGAAGGAGGAGGATTTTTGGTCTTTGTGCAGTGAACTGATGAAGGGCATTATCATTCCTGTTATCTTTTTTTTTTTTTAAACTGTCAAAAAATTTTTATGCCATAAGAGCAACATTTTTGTAAGATGAAATATAAATCATGCAGTGGGCAGAAATGACAGTTACTTTTAAAATGGAAAAGATTTAATTTATTGGTGTGATAGAATGTTAGCGACTTGCAGAAATTTATCAAAAGTGCAACCTGAGTTAACACACTTGTTACAGTCACCAGGAAATAAAGATCAGGGTAAGAATTGAGTCACTAACCCCAAAGCAAAAAACCAAACTTGGCAACATACACACTCTTCATGGTCTTCAGGTCACCTCTTTAAGCAGAACGGAATTTCTTGAAATGAGAACAATCCCCTTGCTCAAAACAACCAACAGGAGATGCTCGCATCGCCCATGTCCCACTCCCCTCAGAACTACCACAAACCTAAGAAAAAGGTATCTTGCCATTGGCAAGGTTTTTTTTCCCCTCCAGCCTCAAAGGTAACATCTGAAACAATCCATTGTCGTGGTTTAACCTCAGTCAGCAACTGAGCACCACACAGCCGCTCGTTCACTGCCCCCTACCCCCCCGGTGGGATGGGGGAGAGAATTGGAAGAGCAAAAGTGAGAAAACTCGTGGGTTGAGATAAGAACAGTTTAATAATAAAATAGTAATAATAAAAGAATGTAAAAAGCAAGTGATGCACATTGCAATTGCTCACCACCCACCGACCGATGCCCAGCCAGTCCCCAAGCAGCGGCCCCCCCTGGCCAGCTTCCCCCAGTTTATGTACTGAGCATGACGTCACATGGTATGGAATGTCCCTGTGGCCAGTTTGGGTCAGCTGTCCTGGCTGTGCCCCCTCCCAGCTTCTTGTGCACCCCCAGCCTTCCCA